TCATCCCAAACTAGACAACCAAACCCCCAGTCCCACTCGCCAAACAAGACAAGCAAACTCCTATTTTACATCACCCTAAACCCAACCCTGGAACTCCAGTCATTTCATCCCTAACTGGACAACTGATCCCTAATCTCCGTCATTACAAACTAGAAAACTAATCTAGTCTCTGCCTCCCCAAACTCACCTTCCCAGTCTGTCACCCCAAGCTATGTCCTGGGATCCCAATCTCTATCCCACAAAATTAGAAACCAGAACCCCCAATCCCTGTTGCCCCAATCTAGACAAATGAATCCCCACTCTGATGTCCCAAACTAGACATCCGGACACCCAGTCCTCTGGCTCCAAGCTATGTCCTGGGATCCCAATCTCTATCCCACAAAATTAGAAACCAGAACCCCCAATCCATGTTGCCCCAATCTAGACAAATGAATCCCCACTCTGATGTCCCAAACTAGACATCCGGACACCCAGTCCTCTGGCTCTCCACACTAGACAAAGAAAATCCACATTCTCTGAAATCTCAATTATGACAACCACATCCTGAATCTGCCTTCCCAAGCCAGTCAATAAGACCCCCAGTCACTGGCACCCCAAACTATTCAACCAGACCCCAGTCCGTCCCCCCAGCTAGGCAACCAGACTTGTAGTTTCTGCAGCCTCAAAACTAGTCACCCAAGGTCTCTCACCTCAAACCAAATCCCTGAACCCCAGTGTCATCACTCCAAGCTAGAAAACCAGTCCCTTGGTCTCTGTAACCCCAAGCCAGACCATTGGCCTTCTGGTCTCTGGCACCCCAAATGAGAGAACCAGACTACAAGTCTCAGACACCCCAATGGAGTCCACCAGGCCCCCAATTTCTGTTGCTTCCAACTAGTCATAGAACCCTAAATCTGGCACCCCAAGCCTTAAATTTCAGAGTTTCAACCTAGCTGTCACCTCAAAAGAGTCTAGACCCCATTTCCAACACCCCTAAGGAGGTTCCAGGATTCCCAGTCTTTGTCTCCAAAACTAGACAATCAGACCCCAGTCTGTCACCCCAAACTAGACCTTAGAGTCCCAGCTCCTATCACTCCAACCTAGACAAGAAGCCCAGTCTCTGACACCTCAAACAATGCAGGTTCTGTCACCCAAACTTTTCACTCCCAATCAGACAGGAGTCCCTAATCTGTTACTTAAAATTTGAGAACTAGATCTACTGTGTCTTTAACCCCAAACTAGATAAGCAGACATTCCCCAAACTAAAAAACCTGATCCCCCCAGTTGCCATCACCTCACGCTAGGCAATAAAATGCCCCCAAGTCTCTGTTGTCCCAAATTATGTAACAAGACCACAGCCTGTGTCACTACCAACTAGACTTCCAGACCTCCAGACCTCCAGACCTCCAGCCTCTGCTGTTCCAGACTAGACAGTGTTGCCTGTCTCTGCTGCCTCAAGGTGACAAACAGACCCTAGTGGGTCGCCTCCAGCCAAGGGGATGCCCCACCTTAACATCCCAAACTAGGTCCCTGGACTCCCAATGTCACCACCCCAAATCTGCCACCTAGACACTCAGGCCTCAGGAATCCCAGTCTATCACCAGACCACTAGTCTCTGTCACCTCAAAGTCATTAACAGATCCCCAGTTTCTACTACCCCATATCAGAAAGTGGACTCCAGGCTGTCACCCCAAACAAGACAACCAGATCACAACCAGCCAACCGGACCACAGGCTCTCTCACCAAAAGAGACAACGAGATCCTTGGTCTCTGTTCCCCTGATGAGACCCCAAGCCTTCCAGTTTCTTGTACCCCAAACCAGTCCTCTCAATCCCGAGATCATTCAGGAGAGACAGATGGGGAGATGGGCCCCGAGTCTTGACCACTCCCAATGGAAGCTTCTGGTCTCGGCATCTCAATAACTCAAGTCCCATTGGGGACTTGTAGTCAGTGACCTCCAGAGTAGGCCCCTGGCCTGAGTCCCTGTTCCCAACCCCCTGCCTGCAGACCACCTGCCTCAGTGACCTCAGTCTCAAGGGCTTGGGCCCTTGGCCTCAGTCACCTCAAAGCAAGGCAGCTTTGACCATATTCATTCCAGGCCCAGCAGTTCGTGGACACTCAATATTCCCCAGGAACATTGGCATTGAGATCAACAAACAAAACGCCCTCTGTTACCCCCAAATTGGGATGGGGACCCTGGCCTCTGAGCAGACCTAGGTGACCTGACTCAGGTCTCTGCCCTGCCCTGGTCTCGCAGGATAAGTCCATCTCTGGGTCCCATTCCCTGGAGGAAGCAGTTGTCTGCCCCCTGGTGGCAGCTTCTGGAAGTGCTTCCCCGGTGACTTCATACTGTGTGGACCCAGACACCCAGGCCCCTCCGTCTTCCCATCTTGCTGGAAGCCTGTAGCCTGGGGGTCATCCTTGCCTGCTCCTTCCCACGCAGCTCCCACGCAGGCCGGTCACGAGGCTCTTTCTCCTGAACCTGTCTTCCCTGTCCCTCCTCTCTACCCCACCTCCCGGCCTCATCTTAACCATCTTGGATCATGCTCCCTGGTTGCATTCCCTCCAGCCCATCCCTAGAGGAACATTTCTAGCATTCACACTTGATCCTGTCTCTACACTACTCAAAATCCTTATAGTATAGGATTCACATTAGGATAGTTTTACATCATCTTAAGCTAAAACCCAAAGACCACCAGCCCCCAACACCCTTCCTAACATCATCTCCTATGGCTGTTCCCTCACTCCTTTCTCCCCCACCACAAGCACTGCCCTGTCATTAAGCAGATCCGACCTCAGGGCCTTTGCACTTGTTTCCACTGGCCTCACCACTCTAAGCGAGCCCCTCCCCGCCCCTCAACTACTCTCTAGTCCCACCCAGTCCGCCGTTTGATTGGCTTCAGAGCATCTCCCTCTCTGAGTTTCCTGAACATGAGCTCCAAGAGGGCAGGGCCTTGTCTGTTTGTGGCACTGTTATTTCCCCAGCATCTAAGCCAGTGTGTCCAACAGAAAGAGAACACAGGGATGGCTGGATAGCTCAGTTGCTTAGAGTGTGGCCTTATAACCCCAAGGTCAAGAGTCTGTACCCCCACACTGACCAGCTGTGCCAAGAAAAAAAAGAAAAAATACAAGTATGAGTGTAACTTTAAATTTTCTACTTAATCACATTTTTTAAAGTAAAAAAAGAAAAAGTAAATAATAATAATTTAACCCAATATATCCAAAATATTATCCTCCCAACACATAACTGATATAAAAATTATTAATGAGATATTTTACACCCTTTTCATACTACGTCTTCGAAATCTGGTATATAGTTTATGTTCACAGCACATCTCAGTTTGGACCAACCGAGTTTCAAGTGCTCAGTAACCACGTGCGGCTGGTGGCCACTGTATCCAATGGCAGAATTCCAGGACAAAGCCGGGTACTCAGTGGGCCCTGATAAACGTTGCTGAATCAACGATGAATGGGTACTTTTTGGTGATGAGACACGAGGCTGGAGAGCCTGGGGGGCCACATCACAAGGCCTTGGCACTTGCTGTCCGTCTGCATAGGAGATTCCATGTCCCTCAGGGCTCACAGAAATGTCACCTCCTCAGAGAACCCTCCCAGACCAGCCCCATCTAAAGTAGCTTCTCTCCCTATATCGGCCAGCTGCCCCCAAAATAAATTAAATTAAATTAAGTAGCTCTTCAGGCCCCCCAGCCACCTCACTTATTCATCTTTATCTGCTGAGTGCTTTCCCTATCAAGTATGTTTCTCTTTTGTCAGTGTTCCCATACAGCAGAGTCTTCGCTTACAGTAAAAAAGCAAACAGCATCCCCACCTCAGAGTAAAGGACAAAGTCCTCACTGTAGCCTACAAGGCTCCCTCGTCTTCCACCCTCTCCCCCTCACTCATCTGCTCCAGCCAAACCAGCCTCCATGCTGCTCCTTGACCCTCCTGGCCCGCTGCCGTCTCTGGGCCTTCGCACCTGCTGCTTCCTCTGCCCAGAACACTCCTCCACCAAAGATTTGCAGCTGCTCCCTCACTCAGTTTAGATCTTCACTCAATGTCACCTCAGAGAGGCCTTCTCAGGCCACCCTCTTTAACCTGCAATGCACTCCAAAACTTCTCTGTGCAGAAAAGAGTTAACACATTGGGTCTGAGACTGCTGTCCTTAGGCCTTCGTGCACAGATAGCCACTGTCTGGTGTCTAGGAACCTGGGTTTCAGGAGGGGACCCCTCATTCCCCGATAAGAGTGACTTTGTGTCTAGGTTGTTTACGCAAACAACATTCTTCCTGCTGGGCACCTGCTTTCCTTCTGCGAGTCTGGAATTTCTGCACATGGTAGACAGAGGATGCTTACATGGCCACTCCCAATAAAAGTGCTGGGCACTGAGACTTTTAACAAGTTTCCCTGATTGATACCTCACATGTGTTGTCACAATTCATTGCTGGAGGAATAAGCCCATCTTGTGGCTGCAGATGGAGAGGACTCTGGAAGCTTGTGCCTGGCTTCTTCTAGACTTTGCCCCATGCACCCTCTCCTTTGCTGATTGTGCTTTCTACCTTTTCATGATAATAAATCACAGCTGTGAGTACAACTCTATATTGAGTCCTGAATCCTCCTAGAAAATCATCAAACCTGGGGTGGTCTCGGGGACCCCCGACACACTGTCCCTTCTCAACTCTTTTCTCCTCCTTAGAACTTATCACCATTTGACATCCTATAGTATTTTACTTATACCATAGTATTTCAAAAAGTTCATGGAAAATTTTGTATTATCTATTTTGTTTTGTTTTGTTTGTGGCTGGCTGGTACAAACCCTTGACTTTGGTGTTGTAACACCACACTATAAACAAGTTAACCAGCCAGTCCATGTATTATCTTTTAATTCTATTATTCCATGAACTTTTTGAAGTACCCTCACATAGCTTGCTTATTGCCTTCCCACACCCTAGGCACTCCTGTCTTGGTCGCTGCAGTATCCCCAGCAGTACCCCACAGAGACCCACAGAAGACGCTGGAAGAATATTTGCTGAATGACAACTCTAACAGCTTTATTTTCAAAGGCAGAATCCCTCCCTGGGCTTGTGATGGAATGGGGGCCTTTGGCCCAAGAAGCTGAGCTGTAGAAGACAGGATGGACAGGGATGGAGCAGCCAGCCCACAAGGCCAGCAGGCCATCGAAGACACCTCACACCGGCTCCATCTGCAGCTCCTCCCTGTCCACAGCCTCGATCTGATGGAAGGCAGCATGGGAACCAATGACCACCAGTGTGGCTCCTGCAGGAAAACAGGTAGTTCAGGACTGTGCTCACTCACCTATCCCCCACCACCTACCCCTGCTACCCAGACCCTATACTCACCTAGGACCCAGAAGACAGCTGAGCCCGCACCAGCCAGCCAGAAGAAGGGAAAGGAGATGCCTCCAGCCAGAGCATACTGATGGGCTGGGCTCACCTCTCGGCCTGGGGACAGACAGCATTAGGGCAGCTGTTCCAAACCTCTGTGCCCTCTCCCAGAGTAACCCTGTTGCCTCCAACATCTGGGAGCCTCAGATCTAATCCAAACTCCTCATGACAAGGCCTTCCAAGTCCTGGCCCGCCCTGCTTCCCTGATGTCTCCACTATCCTCCAGAATACAGCACATCTTCCTCTGCCCTCCAGTCCCACCCCTTCTAGGAAGCTCCCACTTCTCACTCTCCCAGACTAGAGCTCTCCTGCTCCAGCCTACACTCATGTAGACCAGGAGTCTCAAACTGGTGGCCCAAGAGCCAAGTCTGACCTGCGGATATGTTTTTTGAGATGTTTCACAAGAATGTGATTTGTGGCTGATAAATAAACTGAATGATTTAACATAAAAATACAAATTTCTGGATTCTCAAAAGACTGGAAGATTGGGTCTGCATGTTGTGGGAACAGCAATCTGCTGAAGCCAAGTTGTGGCTGTGCATCAGGCTCTCCCTCCACCTCAGCCTGCCTGTGTCACATATATAACTTGCAGGTCCTTGAAAGACTTTATCTTAGGTCTCCCTAATTCTCTGTGTCCCTACTCCAAACCTTGAATTTTCCCTGGGTGGAATTTACCATGGCATCTTGTCTTCCAACGGTGCTTGGCACTAGTCTGGGGCCACATGAACCACATGCCTCAGTTTCCCTCTCTGACAAATCCCAGGACCTTTCTGGTCCCACCTCTGGAAACAGGAAAGGGGAGGGGGACAGAGCTAGGCCAGTGTAAGATCGCCACCTGGTGTCTAATGTGGGTACCTGCAGCTGATGCTTTCCTCAGGTTAGGGAAGAGGGAGGGGGGAGCAGTCAAGCGGTCTGGGGAGGAGAAGGTTTAAAGGACAGGAGCCAGGTGAAGAGTAGGTTCTAGGGTATCTCATTCTGGGTTTGGGGAAAAGCAATTTAAGGGCCTGAGACTGGATAGGAGCATTGGTGTGCCTGAGATTTTAAAGGATCAGGTTTGTGGGATCTGATGTACATCTAGACTTGGGCGCACTTGGGTTCAGGACTTGGATTTAGGGTCTGAGGTAGGTGTGCTTTCCAAGAGACCAGGATTTGAAGGGCCAGGGATCCATCCAGGCAGGGGATTTCTCACCAAAGAGCAGAAGCTTGGATTGCAACGTGCGCAGATAGAGAATGTAACAGGCGCCAAAGAAGACGGCCAGAGCCACCAGTAGCATGGGAGATGTCACCCTGGAGGAAGAGTGCAGGAGGCAATGGTCAGGCAGCTGTGGCTGAGCTAGCCAGGAGGGCCTGGCCTTCTACACCGGCGGGTGCCAGGCTATGTCCTGGAGGCCAAGGAAGGCCAGGTCACAATTGGTCACGCTGCGTCCTAGCTAGGCTGATGGGGGGATAGGGTCCTGGATCTTTGGTAACAAGATCTGGCAAAACTAAGCATGGAGGCGGGGCCTGGCCGGTGGGGGCGAGTGCGGGGCCCGGGGAGGCACTCACACGCAGTACAGGATGAGGCCCAGGAACACGAACACGTAGTTGCTCTGGTAGTACTCCACGTTGCGTACCAGGCGCTGGCACAGCTCGCCCACGTTGCGGGGCCGCGAGAAGCGCTGCTGGTCCACGAAGGCGCCCCAGGACCGGATGGTCGCTCGGCGCCCCCCCAGCCACTCACGGCCCGCGCCGGATGGAATCAGCTTCGGCAGCAGGGTCCTGTTGCGCGGGGCCAGGTCAGCGGTAGACCGGGATGGAGGCTCGGACACCTGGGGAAGGGACCGACCCCTGGGGAAGAGGGGGACTGAGGGGGGGCGGGGTCCTGGGGAGGGAAGGGTCCCGGGAAGGGGCCACGAATCCTCGATCCCAGCAGAGGAGAGGACTGGGAGCCCAGACTCCAGGGTCCCAGAAAAGGAGACCGGGGGTCTAGACTTCCGTATCTGGGGGCCGGGACTCTTGGGACTCGAGGGAGGAGGGGGCTGGGAGTCTCGGGTCCGGGTCTAGAGCCCGTTCGCTCACGTGGCGCTCAGCCCTTCCGCCTCCGCATCATTCTGCTGGTCCTTCTGGGCCGCCATGTCTGCGTTGTGAGGGGGCAGAACAGCCGTAACGAGCCCCCGGCCCTGCAGACCCCGGCGGACCCGCCCGAGCCCGGCCTCACCCGGCGGAGCAGACGTGGCGCAGCTCGGCAGCCGCTAGGGGCGGTAGTTCTGCCGCCGAGCATTGTGGGAGTTGTAGTCCTGATGGTGTCTGGGAGGGCAGGCGCCATGATGTCTGTCTGGTTCGCAAGACACCTTGGGAGATGTAGTCCCAGGAAGCGACGGTGCGTGCCTCTGGGCATTGTGGGAGCTGTAGTTTCAGGAGCAGGGCGTGTTGAGTGGTGGCAGGTAGGTTGTCAGGGGTGAGGGCGTTATGGGAGCTCTAATGGCAGAAGTAGGCGTGTGTACTCTCCCTTGGAGGGTACAGTGGGGACCGTGAAGAGCTGTCGTTCTGACTATAGGGCATAAAAAAACAGCTGGTGGGCTTGATAAAACACTGATTCCTGGGCCCTGGCCCCAGATGTTCTGATCCAGAAAGTCTAGGATGGAGTCCGTTAATTTGCATTTCTAACAAGTTCCCATGTGATGCTGATGCCGCTGGTCCATGGGCCACATTTTGAGTAGCAAGACTGTGGAAATTTTGTGGGAATCGATTCCTTCCTTCCTCAAGAAGCAGAGGCTAGTGAGGGGCCGTGGTTGCTGGAGCGGGGTATCTGAGGTTGGGAGCAAAGCCCCCCTCCCCCCACCCTTGGACTCCCAGCGATGAATGGGGTAGGACTCCCATTTTATTTTATTTTATTTTATTTATTATTATTATTTTTTAAAGATGACCGGTAAGGGGATCTTAACCCTTGACGTGGTGTTGTCAGCACCACGCTTACCCAGTGAGCGAACCGGCCATCCCTATACGGGATCCGAACCTGCGGCCTTGGTGTTATCAGCACCGCACTCTACCGAGTGAGCCAGAGGCCGGCCCCAGGACTCCCATTTTAGATAGGTAGGGAGGGAAGTTGGAAAAGGAATGAGAACTTTTAAAAGAGGGAGTTGTTATACCTAAAAGACCTAGAATTCCGGAGTCAGACTCAGGAGAAAATCCAGGCTGTGTGGCTTGGACCTACTCACCTCCCTGAACCTCAGTGTCTTCATCTGGACAGTGGGGATCCTAGTGGTACCACACTCACGGAGTGATGATAATTCAGTTAAATGGTCCACGTAAAATGCTTGAAAGAGTCTTATAACATATACATTTTATAACCGCCTAATAGTTGTTATTGCCACTACATTATTATAAATATTATGATTATAATTTCTAGAGTTAGGCCTCCTCAGATTAATGGTAAACGTTAGAGGCTGCCAGCCACTTGAGTGTCCCAAAGAGTGGCTGGTGTCTGAGGCATGGGCCTTTCTTTTGCTTATTTCCCACAGCCATGGGTCTCTCTCGGTCTTGAAACAAATTCCTCAGTGGCCCGCCCCTGCCCTAGTGAATTGTGGGAAAACAGGACTTGGCTCTAAAGGGGGTGCACCAGACAGAGCCTCAAGAAGTGTATGGAAGGAAGCCCAGGCTCCCTTGCATGGACTGAGATCCTAATTTTCCAAAACCGGGTAGGGCTGTAGGGAGAATATCCACATGGGATATCCACGTGACTCTTTTAGCCCCAACACTTGTCTTCCAAGATCTGTACCCCTTTAGGGTTTGTGCTTTGAGGCCTGCTGGAAGGCACTCCCAGGAGGTCAGGGAAGATGGCCCTTGCCAAAGAGGCTGGTGAGGCAACCTGGTGGGAGGTCCCCTGTGGGGGGTCCGAAGCTGGAGATGAAAGAACCATACTTTGAAGATTAGTTTGGCTAGTTGCTGTTGATTTCCCCTTTGTTACCTTGGGCTTTCAGTGGAGTCTTGTTCAGGTTTTCTTCAGGAAGTCAGAGGAGGACTGTGAATGCACAATCAACCTGGAGTCCTGATGGGGACGCATCACCGAGTTCAAGTGGTGGGGGCGGCAGAGGTAACCAGTGGAAGAGCCCCGTGGGGAAGATGAATCTCGGGGATCAGAGTTGGAGGCTCTTCCATGGCTGACCTTGGAAAATCTATTTGACTGTTACGAGGGCTGTTGGGTTTCCTTATAAGAACTAGATGAAAGCAGTTTCATTCTATAACCCACCAGTACATGTCTGAAAGGGGGACTTACACAGGCAAAGGCCTGGAGGTATGGAACAGCATGGGCCATGGCGAGAAATTGAAAGAACCATACTTTGAAGATTAGTTTGGCTAGTTGCTGTTGATTTCCCCTTTGTTACCTTGGGCTTTCAGTGGAGTCTTGTTCAGGTTTTCTTCAGGAAGTCAGAGGAGGACTGTGAATGCACAATCAACCTGGAGTCCTGATGGGGACGCATCACCGAGTTCAAGTGGTGGGGGCGGCAGAGGTAACCAGTGGAAGAGCCCCGTGGGGAAGATGAATCTCGGGGATCAGAGTTGGAGGCTCTTCCATGGCTGACCTTGGAAAATCTATTTGACTGTTACGAGGGCTGTTGGGTTTCCTTATAAGAACTAGATGAAAGCAGTTTCATTCTATAACCCACCAGTACGTGTCTGAGCGGGGGACTTACACAGGCAAAGGCCTGGAGGTATCGAACAGCATGGGCCATGGCGAGAAATGGGCTGCAGAGGAGGCGGCCGTGGGGTCCAGAGGCAAGGACATTGTGGGGAGGGACCCTCTGAGCATGAGGGTGGGGGGAAGTTTGAATAAGGGAATTTCAGGAGATGGGGCCTAGAACAGGGGCAATATGGGAGAGGAGCCTAATGAAACTGGGATTATGGGAGAGGGGACCCTAAGAGATATTGTGAGAGATGGTGGGAGATGTTGTCTCTGAGAGGGGGGAATCTATGGAAGACAGGCCTTGAATTATGGAGGAATGGGAGATGAGGGGTGCCTGAGTGTTGTGGGAAATAGGCCCTGGGGTCCCTCTAGCCTGAGCCCTCCTTCCTGCTTCTTGGATTCCCAGAGGAAGTGGTGCTGAGAGGACACCACAGGGAAGTCCCTCCCTTCTCTGGGCCTCAGTGTACCCATCTGTCTGTGGGAGTGTTTCTTCTCCTGCACCAGATGAATAAGGCAGGATCTGTGGGCTCCCTAGGAGAAAATCAGGCCCATGCAGCCCCTCCCAGGACCAGGCTCTGTCCTGGGATCATAAAGGTTGTCCAGTGCACATGGCACCTGCCCTCCAACTGCCTTCCCCCTCAGATTTGGGAGCTTCTCCTTCAGCCATTGTCTTGTGCAGCGGGCACGTGCACACACTCACACACTCACATGTGCTCTCAGTGTCCCTGCCACCCAGACATCTGCACTGGGAGACAGGCAGGACTGGGTCTGTCCCCAGCCTGCCTTTGACATGCATCCCTGGGCTATGTTAGAAAGACTGCCTTCAGCAAAGTGTGTTTAGCTGCCCAACCAGAATGGCAAAATTAAAAGGACTGGCAATACCAAGTGGCAGCGAGGATGCGAAAGAACTGGAACTTTCATACACTGCTGGATGCAAAATAACACGAGAACTTCAGACAGGGTCTGGCAGTTTCTATTAAAGCTAAACATAGTTCGTCCCATGACCCAGAAGTTCCACTCCTAGGCATGTATGTACCCAACAGAGATGGGGCTTGTGTCATCAAAAGCCATGACTAGAATGTTCCTATTCCTAACAACACCAATTGTCATGGCCCCCAAGCTGGAAACAACCTAAATGCTCATCAACAGGAGAATGACTAAACAAATTGTGTTAGAGTCACACGATGAAATGTTACACAGCAGTGAAAAGGAAGGGGCTACCAATACGTGTGACAAGGTGGATGACTCTCACAGACGTAATGTTGAGGATAAGGAACCAGACATGGGAGATGACATACTGTAAGATTTCATTTATATGAAGTTCAAGAACAGGCACAACAAACATGTGATGGAAATCAGATCAGCAGTGGCCTCTGGATGGGGCCGGCTGGAAAGGGGCATGAAGGAACTTTCTTTTTTTTTTTTCCGACCGGTAAGGGGATCTCAACCCTTGACTTGGTGTTGTCAGCACCATGCTCAGCCAGTGAGCGAACCGGCCATCCCTATATGGGATCCGAACCCGTGGCCTTGGTGTTATCAGCACCACACTCTCCCGAGTGAGCCACGGGCCGGCCCCCAATGAAGGAACTTTCTGGTGGATGAAATTGTTCTATACCTTGATCTGGGTGGTGGTTATACAGATGTAATTGTTTAAATCATTGAGCTGCACACTTAAGATTTGTGCTTTTCACTGTATGAAAATTTATCTCAATAAAAAGAGAGAAAATAGCATAGTGACCTAGAGCTCAGACAGCCTTGCTTCGAATCCCAGATTTGTTGCCTCCTAGCTGTGTGACTTTGAGCAAGTCACTTCCCCTCTCTGTGCCTCACGCCTTGTGAGGATTAAATGAGCTGAGACACATTTATCAGGCAGAAAGGGGCAGAGCACATGGTGGGCGCTCAGTGAATCACTCACCATCGTCACCATCATCACCTCCCCGGGGTCCTACTCCAATAAGAGGCTCCCCAGTCTGCAGTCCCAAGCCCAATTCCCTTCCTCTCCCATGTTCCGATTCCATAATCCCATCACCTGGCGAATTCAAGCTGCTCTAAATTTTGTGGAGGCTAAAACTTTGTGATTCAAGCACTCTGAGATTCCATGACTCCCAAGCTCGTGCCAGGCTAAATTCTGGGGGTTTCTCAAATCACCCAGCAGCCTGTGCCAGCACTGGGGACACCGTCCCACCCACCACCCCCATACAGAAAGCAAGCACGACATACACAGCTTCTCTCTCCCCTCTGATATATTTGATAATTGTCCAGAACCAGAGATGGCATCAGCCGGGGCATAAGGGGGAGTAAAAAAAGAGCCCAGAGAGGGATGGAGGGGTGAGGAGAGAGAGAGAAACAGACACAGAAAAGAGAGAGAGGAGAGAGGCAGGGGCCGGGGGCTAGGAGCCAGGGAGAGAAGCCAGCCAGAGTGGGGAGAGAGGCAAGGAGGCAGGAGATAACTGAGGGGATGGGGGCCGAGATGGGGCCTTGGGGAGAGAGGGCCCTGGTCCCCCAGAATACAAAATGGGGGTGCTGGAGGGGGCTGTCCCAGGCTTGGGAGATGGGCGATGTGGTGGG